GAATTGCTGAGAATGTATGTTCCCTGTGACTGCTATCTCTTCTTCAGCCTTGTTACAACTCCACGATTTCAAAACCAGACATGAAGCAAATCTATAGAACAAGGGACATGTTGAAATGCCTGACGGACACGCTGCCAAAAATTATTGCTCTGTTGCTGTGCGGTAGCCCTCTTGCACCATATGTTTCTTTGAACACAACATTATTTGCTCTGAGCCCGGCAACAAAAGGTGTGTGTGTGTGTGTGTGTGTGTGTGTGTGTGTGTGTGTGTGTGTGTGTGTGTGTGTGTGTGTAGAAGTACTGTACTCTGGCCAGCAGAACCCAACATTCTTGCAAGCCTTTATTTAAGATATGTGGTTGAAGCAATCCCACTATTACTCATAGGAAACTCAAAAATGCAGCACAGCCCAATGAAATGAGAATAGCTCTGCAATCTTGGTTTCATCGAACATATTTATGGACTTACTTCCTGCCAAAGCATCCATAGTGGTTTATGGCTTCCTGGTAACCCCAAGAAAAGTTACAAATTAGGAACCAACAAAAGAGCAACCTCTAATGATGATCTGCTATCATCTCCGAATTCAATTTCCCTTTTCTGTTTTCCCTCAAATCTCTTGAATTGTTCTCTCATTCATATTAACTAATGATCTGGAAACCAGTTTATAATATGTTCTCATCAATTTACCTCATTTGATTCATTAAATGTCAATGAAGATGACTAGATGCTACCCAAAATATCTGCAAGGCCCTAGCCAGCTTTGCAAAATATTCTGGAGACTCTCGGCATGCATGCAGAATCCAAGATAATCCTGATAGATGGCATGTTTTGGAATTGGGCACAAGTTTTAGTTAAGCTGAATTGATTTAATAAATTTGGTTCCTGCTGTACCTACTTGAGGCTTTTTTTAGGGAGTTGACATCAGAGTGATTCATTGGAATGTATCTTTCTGTGTCTTAACATCCTGGTATTTTAACTACCTATCTAATATTTCCCAAGGACCAGGACAGGCAAGTTTTCCAGTCTGAGCAAGGGGTTGGACACTAAAAGACCTCAAAGGTCCCTTCCAGTGATGGGATTCAAATAATTTAACAACAGGTTCTCTGCCCTAATGATTTCTTCCAACAACCAGTTCACCAAACTGCTCAGACAGTTAACAACCGGTTCTCCCAAAGTGGTGCAAACTGGCTGAATCCCACCACTGGTCCCTTCCATCTCTGTTATTCTATTGTTTGGTAGTTCTTCTATTTGCTGGTTTTAGCACTGTGTGATTTTTCTCCTGTTCTTTCTCTTCTATAATAATAACAGAATAACCAAGTTAGAAGGGACCTTGGAAGTCTTCTAATCCAACTCCTTGGTCAAGCAGGGGACCCTATACCATTTCAGAAAAATGGCTGTCCAGTCTTTTCTTAAAAACTCCAGTGATGGAGCATCCACAACTTCTGAAGGCAAACAGTTCCACTGGTTTATTGTTCTCACTGTCAGAAATTTTTCCTTAGTTCTAGGTTGGTTCTCTCCTTGATTAATTTTCATCCATGGCTTCTTGTCCTTTAAATTAAGACAGGAAAATCTTCTCTAGTCAAATGCAACACAGATAATTTAAAAACATAACCACTATCTAGACTTTTTTCTTTCTTACTGGCAATAGTTAAGACTGGGGTGTTAAGGCTACTCCTCGTTTAGTAACTACACAAAGTGTTCGCTAAGAGAAATCATGACTCTGCATAGGATTGCATCTTTTTCCCTTTTCTTGGCAGACTTGCAAAGGTCATAAATGTAAGGACTGATTGTAAAGTTAATTTATCATCATCGCTATAACTGTGAATGGTTGCTAAATGAGGACTACTTGTATGTGACAGGTGCTTGCCTGTTTGAATTCTAAACTCCCAGAATATTTTAGCTTTTCATTTTCTATAATTTGTCCATTTTCTGTTCCACCATTTCTTGCTTGCAGGCAAATGTTATTCCTTGCGGATATTCCAATGCACCATCATTGCTACTTTGTCATGTATTATTATTATTTTATGAATATTACATATAAGACAAAAAGGGAGGGGGAAGGGTGGTCTCCTTGGAAACTCCTGAGTGTCTGATGTAATCAAAAATGGATTTGAAAGAGCAGATGCCGAAATTCTAACATTCAAATCCTTTGTTTCATTTTTTCGATTCAGTTCTTGGACTGGTTGAATATACATGCAGGTACTTTTTCCCTTGCTATGACTGCATGCCACAAAAGCACATGAAAGCGAGCTATTTTAGAATTTTAGAATCAGCAAATATAAAGATCTGCTGATGCATTATGCATCTGCAGCATTATTTAAGCGGAGCTTTTGACATGACTGATGTTGATCTATTCTACCTTCAGTTATCCAACAAAGGATCTGGAGCAGATTTTTGTGTATATGTGTTTAAATGAGGTCATAGGCACAATTTTTGACAGATAATTTTTTTTTGCAGCTTCTCTGAAGCAATACTTTTATTGCAGGCTTTCTTAATAAACTTCAACTCTGTAAAAAACAACAGGCTGTTTCAAAATGGATCCATTTCTTATCTTTTAGGAGCAATGTTCCAACTGCAAGGTAATGAAAAGTAAAATAGCAATTTAGATGATCCGATTATTTCAATCCACCACTTGAAAAAACTTGTGGATACCTTCTCAGTGTTAATTACCTAATTTCAGACTTTTCCCTGCTTCTAGAAATTGAATATTCGAAGGTGTACGGCAAAAAGCTCATAAAGGTAATTGTTGACTTAAAACCATTAGTTTAGGGACTGTTCAAAGTTACAATGGCACTGAAAGATGTGATATATAACTAGCCCTTGTGCTTACTACTGTTGCAGAATCCCTATGGTTAATTGATAAAAACTTCAGTGCTTGACAACTGGCATATCTTTTTGAAGGTTGTGGTGTCCCACGGTCATATGATCAGCATTTGTGACCCTTCCCAGCTATTTCTGAAAGCAAAATCAATGGGGGAAGCCAGATTCACTTAATGACGTAACTACTGCAATTATTTGCTTAACAATTGCGATGAAAAAGGTCATAAAATCAGGTGTGACTCACTTGACACTAGCCTTGCTTAGCAATGGAAATTCTGGTCCCATTTGTGGTCATGTCGAGAAAATATGTCCTGGATTTTGATAGACAATCTGCCATGTTTGTCCAGTGCAGCCACAGTTTTAAATTGTGAATAACCCAACAGAATGGTAATGGACAATCTATACTGAAGGTCTCCAGATGCTCATTACAGCTTCAGTTAATTCCCATCTGACCATAACCATCTTATCCCAAGGCGGCCCAGTGGTTAGAGTGAAGTACTGCAGGATACTTCTGCTGACTGCTGGCTGCCTGCAATTTGGCAGTTCAAATCTCACCAGGCTCAAGGTTGATTCAGCTTTTCATCCTTCTGGGGTGGGTAAAATGAGGACCCAGATTGTTGAGGGCAAGAGGCTGACTCTGCAAACTGCTTAGAGAGGGCTGTAAAAGCACTATGAAGTAGTATATAATTTAGCACTAAGCTATTGCTAAGTGCTATTACCGTATATACTCGAGTATAAGCCGAGTTTTTCAGCCCACTTTTTGGGCTGAAAAAAGCCGCCTCGGCTTATACTCGAGTCTACAACTNCACTATAAAAAATTTATATAAGCTCTGATTCCACTCCACATCTTTTCAGGCATGCTCTAGGGATGTATTTTGACATTTGAGTTTCACCAGGATAAAACTCGGTAGGTTTATCATGAATGGAAATGCACCACAATCATATGGTCATAAATCAATTGTAATATTTCAAGGAGTAAATGATGCACTTTGTAAATGATGCATGCAGAAAGTTAATCTGCAGCACAAATGCCATAAGTGAACCAGAATTAAGCAAGCACTTAATTAGGGTTTACTGACTAAACCAGAATTGTTTCAGTTCACATAATATGAAAGTTTAAGATGATCTGGAATCCAACCCATTTTAAGATGTTTTAGATTCTTTTTTACCAAGAAATTCTGGGTCTTCTGTTTTATTGTCTAACTTTAAATTTATCTAAAGATTATTATTTTTTTCCCTCTGAGAAAAGATGAAGTAATTGCTCACCTTCTCAGGCATGGGGTAATTTAACCAATAGAAACCAGCCTTGCACAAACAAATAAATGAGCCACCTCGTTTAGACACAAATTTGCAACGGCCTTATGGAAAAAGAATGAGGAAGTGAGTACTTGCATTCTGGGAAACTTTAGCTGGTATTGCATTATCTAATGGCCCTGAGTTCTTGCTCCAGAAATTGTGTAATATTATGACACTGTGAAGCATCGAGGTCTTCTTTAGCATTATCTACTAGAAGCAGTTTGGAAAAGTAGCCAAATCCAAATGGCCATCTGAAGATTAGTGTTTTTGGGAAACTCTGATCCTAAGATCCTTCTTTGTGACATTTTGATAGGTGCTGACCATGAAAAGGGGATAAGAAAGAGAATGGTTACACCATAAAGTGAACCAGCAAACAGCTGCAGTAGGCTGTGGAAAGTCCAAGTGGATGGAAACAACCACTAACAAACCACATTTTGGAGGTGCAAGACACCAAAAAATATATTAAGAGGAAATAGACTACAAAGGAAATAGGAACTGGGAACAAATGAAGTTCTCTTCTTACACTCGTCTCCTGCCTTTCTCCACAACGGATGTTGCAACATTTCTATGGAGGCGTTATACAGGGAATACATGCAGCTGCACCATGCATTCAGTTCCTGGTCTAGGCCTTTCCTAGAGTCATGAAACCATGAATTATGGAAATCATACATGATGCAACTGGACACCATGTTATTTATGAGAGATTATTCTAAGGTCAACAGACACAGTGCAGAAGGCAAGACGAGTTCATAAGTCCTAGAGGCCACATGAATACTCACCTGTATGGGTACGCTGATGTGCTTTCAGATGTGAACTTTTGGTATAAACCTTCCGGCACCCATTGAAGTGACAGCGATGAACCCGCCTCCTCCCATCAGGAGANAAAAGTTCAATTTGCATAAGGCACCATTATTAAGGTCAACAGTGCATTAACAGGTAGAAAACCAGAAATTAGACCTCAAGGCATAAATAAAAGATAAGAAGGTAGGTGTTGAGGCAATGGGGAAAACAGCTGCACGAGTTCCTTTTTTGTTTTTGTTTTAATATCCATCTCTAACCTACAGTGGTTTTATCCACCCAATAGGACAAAGCAAAAAGTAATTCAAGGAAGGGTGGGGGAACACTATTTGGGTTTGGTATGTTATGTAACATTAAACCAATTGCAGTGTAGCAGCTTTGAACCGGAGTTGAGAAAGAGAGAGAGAGAGAGAAAGAGAGAGAGAGAGAGAGAGAGAGAGAGAGGGAGGGAGAGGGAGAAAGAGAAATGGCAGTCCTGATTACAGAATGGGAAAGCATCTAGTTCTCCAGAACCATGCAATAACCTTTGTATTATAATGAAAAAAGTTATAGGTTGTGTTATATTGTAAATACACAGCTTATACAATGGATTACAAATGAGCTCTGTAGCAAGTCAGACAAGCTACGGGAGACATTGCACATTTAATAGCTGCACCAGACACCAAAATCTCCTTTCACACAGGATAGGGACCCATGCCGATATTCTCTATTCTGATTTTTCTTCCTTCCTTTCTTCCCTCCCTTCCATCTCCCCCTTCAGAAAACAAAAAAAAAAGGGAAAAAAAGGTGCAGACACCATTTCCCCCTCCCCCCATCAAAAGGATGTGCATCCTTCCATCTTACATAACACTCTTCACATGCGCCACCCACCCACCCAAATTAAAAATAAAATTAAAAAAAATAATAATCCCATGTTCAGACAGCTTTTTCTCTCTTACGGTTAGAAAACAACAAGGAACAAATGTTTTTTTTTTCTTTAAAAAAATGTGCCTCAGCATCCAGTCATCCAGTAGATCCTCCATAACACACAAGTTGTCCATTCATTAACACTCCCAGTTCGCTCACGGCAGAAGGCGTCGGAAGCCATTCGGAAAGGTTTGGTCCCCTGGGCTGGAGACCTGCACCATATATGGTCACTGCAGCCATTTCTTACATGACTTATCTAGCCCTCTAAAAACCTTCCATGGAAGAGAGGACCTGGAGGCCACTGAGTTAGGGTGCAAAATGGCATGCTTTGGCTGGAATATGCATCCTTTCATCCAAGGCCATCTTGACCTCGATGCCTCTTAGCCCACAGGATTCAAGCTTCCAATCATTCAGAGATGCCTCTTCATGTGAAGAGCCAGATGGTCAGACCTGGAGAAGCACCTGTCCAACAACAAAGAGAAGACACTTAAGCTCAGGTTTCAACGGGGTATCAAGAAATATGCTGGTTTTAGGATATCTAAAAGTGCTTTTCTCCCCAAGGGGCAATTGGACTTTCTTCATTTTTCCTTGAAGACCTTCCATGTCTCATCCAAGAAGCTCTGACTCTCAGAACTGAAAAAGCTTCTTAGATGAGACGTGAAATGTCTTGGTAGAGTACCATGACCTCCATAGACATTTAGATTTAAGATAGATTACTGCGTAGCAAGATACTGCTTGCACAGCAGTGGAAGGATCACTGTTCGGAAGACAAGATACTGCATTGTAGCTAAAGGTTTTGCAAGGGAGCTGACACTTCAGCACAGTGATTGTGATCTTGTCAATCACCAGCCAAATAAACATCCACCTTTATTACTAGAAGAAGTGGAGATCAGCATGTTAACGCCGCAACAACTCGTGGTAAAAGGAATGCAGCGAAGGTCATCCCTGTAGCCTTGTAGGTGATCAGCGACTTTAACTAATTCAAATTCAGCACCGTAGTCACTACTCCGTAACCTTTCTGACTCTCTATCTCCATATCTTACCAGAGGTGATACCAGAAATAATTCAGTCCAATTTGGAGGACTACAGGTTCACCACATCTCTGCTTATGGCACTGTGTAAAAAGACAACCAGTGGCAAAAATTGGAAGTTTTATTCTTTTTAAGTGCTCCATGTCATTGGGTCCATCTAACTGAACTGATGGCAACATTCATAATGTGACTTAACGATCCGAGGATAATTTAATCTCTCCTCTAGAAATCCCACAGACGCTTCCTATCGATTTGTCCTACTGCTTTCTTGATCAGTTAGGAAGTTGCTCTTCCATTAATCCAGAAACTATCCAGAAGTTATTTCAAATACAAATGTTCCAACTGCATTGCGAATATGGAACTCTTCCAGGAAAGTTGGAACAGCATTGGAATGTTTCTTGTAAGGTTAAAACAGGACAATTCGACTTTGGAGTGTTTGTCCATCAAACGTTTCGCATATTTCTTTCAATATGCAAGCGGGGCTATTATAGCAATAGAGAGAGATTCCCAAAAAAGATGCCTTTTTTTTTTGCTGAATATAAAAGAGGCTCTTTTTATATTTAAGAAAAAAAACTATACTATTGCAATCCACAGAGCTGCAGGAAATGTGCTGCTTTCTATGCAAGGGGGGAACAAAATAATATAGAACAAAATTCCATCCACATACCTGTCACAGTGATTACACTTAAAAGGTTTTGCACCCGTGTGCTTTCTGAAATGTCTGGTTAGCTCATCACTCCTTGCAAAGCGCCACTCACATCCTTCCCATGAGCATCTGTAAGGCTTTTCTCCTGGAAAACAGAAACAAACAAACAAAAAAATCCCATTTATACTGACCATTATTCAGTTACAGAGAGTACATATAATATTCTTCTTCCAAAGAGGAATGTTGACTCACTGGGCATTCTTTTCTAAGAAAAGTACAGGAAACAAAGTTGCTCATTCAATGGTTCACTTGGTACTTCCAAGAATGCAGATGGATTTTTTTTT